TCAGAGGGTTGGTGTGAGCTTGATGAATAACCTGCTTACACACTGCAGGGGACAGTGCGGCGCTCCCTCAGCACTGACCCTCCGACAGTGCGGTGCTCCCTGAAACCTGGCTCTTAGACCAGCAGTGTAGATGTCTAAACTGGCTTTTCAGGAATAGAATTTGAATCAAGACCGGTCTACACAAAATGAATCACCACCTGCAGAGGAGACTGAACTGTCAAATCTCTGGATCTGGATTTCTGACAGAATAGTTGAAATCGATAATGGAGCAATATACATTGGCATTGCAGTAATATGAATGAAATAAATAAATACAGTTCTACTTGTTCCATATCATGAATTTTAAAATGATGGACATTCAATGAAGAAAGGCAAGGGAGAGATAAAGAGAGAAAGAAAGTAGCAGAGTGGTACAGAGGTGTCTGAGGGAGAGACAGTGTGTCTAAAGGGGAAAGAAGAGGTAGAAGGAGAGGTTGTAGAGTCACACAGCACAGGCACAGGACCTTTGGTCCAACCCATCCATACTGACCACATTTCCTAAACTGAACCAGTCCCATTTGCCTGTTTTCTCTCAAATCTTTCCAAATGTCTTTTCAATGTCGTAATTGTACCCGACTCTACCACTTCCTCTGGCAGCTCATTCCGCATAAGTATCTTTGAAGAACACTGGAGAGAAAAGTGAAGTGAGGGGAATATCTTGGAGAGTTAGTGTTGGGGGGAGCAGAGACAGAGGGTCAGAGCGGTCAAGGGAAGGATGGCAGGAGGGCTGGTCCCTGTAGGGACACGGGTTAGAATCACACAGCTGTACAGCATGGAAACAGACCCTTCTGTCCAACTCGTCCATGCCAACCAGATATCCTAAATTAATCTGGTCCCATTTGCCAGCATTTGGCCCATATCCCTCTAAACCCTTCCTATCCATGTCCCCATCCAGATGCCTTTTAAATGTTGTAATTGTACCAGCCTCCACCACTTCCTCTGACAGCTCATCCCATACACGCACCACCCTCTGTGTGAAAAGGTTGCCTCTCAGGTCCCTTTCCTCTCTCACCCTAAACCCTTTAGTTTTGGACTCCCCTACCCTGGGGAAAAGACATTTGCCCTCTCCATGCCCCTCATGATTTTATAAACCTCGTAAAGGTCACTCCTCAGCCTCTGATGCTCCAGGGAAAATAACCCTGGATTGTTCATGGACTTAGGAAAAAAGCCAGAGAAGGGCTGTGAGGGAGGGGTAGTGGAGGAGAATTTGATTTATTTGACACAGTGAGTTGGGATCTGACCAGGACATGGGAGCAGGGACTACCAAAGTGGGACGGAGGAAATGCTCAAAGGGGATACATTTGTCAGGCAGTGAGGGGGAGAAGAGAGTGGATGATAGAATTAGAGAGATCTTTCAAAGGGCCAGCACAGACTTGAGGGGATGAATGGCCTCCACCAGGGCACTGAGATTCTGTGAATTTTGCAGGGACATATTTGCTTTCACTTGCTATTGGTTTGGTCACAAGTAACATGGGAAAAGAGATGTCTTGCTGCAATTATACAGGGCCTTGGTGAGACCACACCTGGTGTATTTTAGTCCCCTTATCTGAGGAAGGATGTTCTGGTTGTGGAGGGATTGCAATCAAGGCTTATCCATAAAACAGATATAAAACCTATAAAAGTCCAGCAGGGGCAAACAAAGTAAACACAGGAAGGATGTTCCTGATGATCGGGGCGGGGGGGGGAGTCCAGAACCAGAGGGGTCACAGTCTAAAGGGGTCAGGGTTGGCCATTTAGGACTGAGATGAGAAGAAATGTCTTCACCCAGACAGGAGGAAGCCTGTGGGCTTCTCTGCCACAGAAAGCGGTTGAGGCCAAAACATTGAATGTTTTCAAGAAGGGGTTGGATATAGTTCTTAGGGCTACAGGGATCAAAGGGTATGGGGGAGAAAGCGGGAACAGGGGACTAACATGGATGATTAGCCATGATCATATTGAACGGTGAAGCAGGCTTGAAGGGCTGAATGGCCCACTCCTGCTCATATTTTCCAGGGTGCATTTACAGACCTGATAGTAGCAGAGTAAGAAGAAAACACTTGGGGCCTCCTTCTACAGTGCCCCTGAGTGGCAAAAGCCTCTTACTGCACTGTGACTGTTGACATAGGAAATTTGACTGAGGGCACTGGTGTCGTGTACGTCAATGTTTTCAACAACTTTATTAACTAAAATGAGACCAACAATCGGTGAGAAGATGGCGAGTGATTGTGCACTGTTACTGCCTGTTTATCAATGCAAGATGTTTTGGAGACAGTGCAAGTAATAACTGAGCCTATCCCACAATGTCTGGGAAAAGATAAACTTAGGAACAAAGAGCAGGAGGAGGCGATTCAGCCCCTCATATCTGCTCTGCCATTTAATACCATCATGGCTGATCTCATCTCAGCCTCAACCCCACTTTCCTGGCCCAAACCCCCTCACCCTTTAACCAATTACTAATTAAAAAATTATCCATCTCCTCACATTCACTCAGTTTCCCAGCATCTGGGACAGTGAATGCCACAGACTCTCACTCCTTCACAAGAAGTAATTTCTCTGCATCTGTTTTAAATCTGCCACCTCTTATCTTAAAACTATGACCTTGCATTCTAGATTGCCCCACATGGGGACACATCTAGATCTGAAATGGGATTGGACATCAGCTGAACATCATTCCCACTGTTTAATGTTTGATGCACAGAGTTCAATACAAGCTCTCATTTGCTTCAGTGAGATTATTTTGATCCATTATCTGACTCTCTCTGCAAATTTGTCAGCCCTTACAGCTCAGTGGATGGCACTGCTGCCTCACAGCACCAGGGACCCAGGTTCGATTCCACCCTCAGGCGACTGTCTGTGTGGAGTTTGCACATTCTCCCCGTGTCTGTGTGAATTTCCTCCGGGTGCTCCGGTTTCCTCCTACAGTCCAAAGATGTGCAGGGTAGAGTGGATTGGCCATGGGAAATCGCCCATAGTGTCCAGGGATGTGCAGGCTAAGTGGGTTAGCCATGAGAAATGCAGGGATGGGAGGGGGGAATGGGTCTAGGTGGAATGCTCTTTAGAAGTTTGGTTTGGGCTGAATGGTGTTCCCACACTGTAGGGATTCTATGATTGTGTGTATACTTTCCCTATCTACTTATCTCAATGTTTTTCCAATCCTCTCCCTCTATATCAATCCCATTCACACTCTATCAATTTCTCCCCATCTATCCCTGCAGCCTGTCCCTTCACCTCTCTATCCCTCCATCATCATTTCTCTTACTTCCACTCTCCCCCTCCATCACCTCTGCAACTTTTTTTCTCTCTCTCCCTTCATCAGTACCTCCCCCACCATCAATATCATCCCCATTTCATCTCTCTCCCTCCCTCCATCATCCCTCCCACAATTTCACTCTCTCCCTCCATCATTCTCTCTCTCACTTTCTTTCTCTCTCTCTCTCTCTGGAATGGGTTCCCCTTTGCCTCTCCCCTTTCTCTCTCACACTGTGTGGATGCTCTCTCTGAAAATCATCTTCTTTCCCTTACTCTCTCTAACTCTCCATCTTCCTCTCATGGTCTCATGGAAAGAAAGATAGAATCAGAGCAGAAGTAGACAATGCATCCCACCGAGTCTGCTCTGCTATTTGATGAGATTGTGGCTGATCTGATCGTCCTTAACTTCACTTTTGTGCCTTTTCCCCATAACCCTCGATTCCCTTCCTGATTAAAAATCTCTCTATCTCAGCCTTGAATATACTTAATGGCCCAGCCACGACAGCCCTCTGCAGTAAAGAATTCATCAGATTCACTCCCCTCAGAGAGAAGGAATTCCTCCTCATCTCTGTCTTCAATAAGTAACCCCTTATTCCAAGGTGATGCCCCTCTGGTCCCAAACTCTCCATATCTACACTGTTAAATCCAATTGCTGTCCCTCATTCCCGCTGCAGTCTCTTCATCTCTTGTTCTCTCTCTCCCTTCAGTTTGTCCATCGCTCTCCCTTTCTCTCCTTCTGCACTCTCTCCATCACTTGCTCTCTCTCTCACCGCTCTTTCTCCACCACACGTTCTTACTCTCTGTCTGCAGTCACTCCCTCGCACTCTCTCTCTCCCCCTCACCCCAGCTGTCTTTCTGTCACTCTCTCTGTCTCTCCCTCGCTGCAATATCTCCATTGCTTCTCTCTCTCTTTCTTCTGTTTCTTTGTAATCTCTCCTTACCCTGGAATGAGTGGATGGCCTTATGAGGAAAGGCTAGACAGGCTGGGTCCAAAGGCCCTGGAGCTGAATTGAAACGTATCAGATCCTGAGGTGATGTGATTGGGTGGATGTAGAGTGAATGTTTCCCTTGTGGGACACCGTTTCAAAGTAAGGGGTTGCCCAGAGATGAGGGAAA